ACTTTAACTTGGTCATGTTCCTAATAATGAAAAGCAAATGTGAACGCAAAAGGGTTGGCCATCGTTTCCCAACATGGATGTTTATTTAGAATAGGGCCTTTTAAAAAAAAAAATCAAATCAGTGGGAACCCTCCAAAAGTAATCTAATGATCTCGAAATGGAGCGAGTCGAAATCGGGTGTATTACAATCGGATTTAAATGTGTTAACATCTGAATAGCTGATGTCCTGTCCCATCACATTTTCATTTATGGAAGAGATATTCTCAGTCCTAGGGAAAGGGTCTCCCTTATTATTTACAGTTTGTTTTCTTTTTAAACTATTAGGTCTATTAAAATATTATAATATTATACACACACGCATATATGTATACACACACACACACACACTAGATAGATACACACATTATTATACACACACACACACACACATTTGAAAAAACAATTAAGAGGCCCATTCGACATTGGTTTTTTATACCTGATGATCTAGCTGAAATGTCCTTCAGGGTTAACAGATCGCCGAGTACCAGAGGGGTTTAGAACAGAAGATATCTTAATTAAAAACCCTAATCAAGCAACATTAATTGAAAATACTTTGCAAAACACAGAAAGCATTGCAAGCGGCTGATTCTGAAGGCGCTTAGCATATGCACTTGTGTCTGTGCATATACGCAGACACTGCGTACACACACACACACACACACACACACATAATATATATTTTACGTATTATAATACGCAAAGATTAATATTATACCGTAAGGCAGTATGTTTCACTTCTGGCTGTGGAATTCCGTAGTTTGGCCCTTACTCACCTTATTATAAAGCCTAATCTTTTGATTTACAGCTATTAAAGCCGAGAGGCTCCTGTCCCAATAGATAAATTATAGTCTGAAGTGATCCAAAATAATTTGCAGCTCTAGCTAGGAACTGCTTTAGCTTTTTAGACTTGCCTTTCGCCTTGTGAGCCAGAGTAAAATTACAAAGAGTTTCTCTCTAACCTGCCCCCACTCCCCCAGCCCCTTTCGAAATCAGGTAATAGAGTCAAACTCTCAGGAGAGCTTCACATCTGCTTAAAATATTGTCCAATGAAATGAAATTCTACAACAGATTGTGTTTTTAATATACTGTACACCACTAGCCTGCATACCAAGTCCGCAGAAGGTTTGTGTATCGCTTTACCACAGGATATAGGGGCGTATTAATAACTACAAACACACATTAATCGGATCGAGGCTTAACGAGTGCGGATCCAGAGGTGTGTTGGGGAAGGTGTGTGCTGGAGCTGTGTGTGACGTGTGGGAACATCAATAGCCGACTGTATTAGATACACAGAGAGATACACATTGTCCTGTAGGTGCATAATCTGTTTTGCAAATAAATACTCCTGGGAGATGGAAACCGTAGCTTTGGGCTACTGTTTTGAACTGTGATCCCTAAAAATCCTAGGCTGAAACCCCATAAACCGCCGGCCCGTGTATTGTATGAAACACCTGATTTTAATCAGAGCTCAGCCTTCCGAATAGACACTTCCAGTTCGCATTAGTGCTCGTGCAAAAGAGCCGTGTTGGAGCAGCAGCGCCTAGTGCAGAAGCGAAGTGTCTTGTTCCAGGCAGAGAAGTCCCAACTAGCGCGTCAGACAGCCCGGCACTGAAAACCCATTAGCGCTTCAGCTGCAGAAACTCGCTTCCCGAACTCCCACCATGGGTGGCTTAAGGGTGGGGCAGCAGGATAGGTGCTGCAAACACACAATTCTAGTTAAAGGCAAGTTAGGGGGCATTCTGTAGAACTGGGTGTGTAGAATGAGATGCTCACATCTGCATCACACACACCCCCATTAGAGCTGCTAAACTACAAAATAAAAACGACTCCGTGCTCCTCAGCCTTCTGCATCAAGGAAAAAAAGATAGCCCGTTCAAAAATGTTCAGCTCCTTAAATAAAAGGCAATAAATAAGCTTCGGTATTTTACGGGGTATTTTTTTAATGCGGGCCTGTAATCCATAGGTGGAAAAATCACAGTATTAATTGCAAGACAACTTCCCTAATAATGCACTCAAAAGTTGCCCATGTACATTGTAAGACGCACGCCTTTGTGTGTACATAGCCACATTTCTAACTGTGAGAAAGGTGTGTGTGTATTACACATATGCACACACAGCTATGTGGGCCGGTTGGGTGTCCTAATGGAGCATATTGAAAAAATACAACCTCAGAGGTAAGTTACTGGGCCTTGCCCTGGCGCTGCGGGTGTGAGTTGTGTCCTTTTAGAAATAAAAGTGTTTAGACGTGTCAGTTTTCAGAGACTGTGGTAAAAGAACTCTCACTCCACTTTGCAATGATTCAAAGGGAAGCAAACTATGCGACAAATGCAATTTGCTTTATTATTTATTAAGCCCGTATGTAGAGTCGTACTCTTATTTCGGACAGTACTGTTGAAAATTTGGAAGAGCGATTCCAACCGAAAGAAGGGGGAAAGCCACGGTCTGGGTGGAGGTAGGACTTGGACACGGTAAACCATGAAAAAATATCCTCTGGCCGTGGAAAAAAAAGTAAAGATGCTACATAATAATACACCTGAATTACAAAATAAACCCTTGAAATAGTAAGGGATTTGTGTGTATCTTTCATCTACCTGCCCCTTTGGAAAATTAAAAGTTTATACTACAAAATAAAATAAAATAAACCTAAAATACGAGTTAGTTTTCTTCCCCTTCCTATCGCATGGTCGTTTAAGAATCTAATTCCTCGTTCCCAGCATTGGGATACAAACTTCACTCTTCTTACCTGAAATAGCTCTCACCTCGGCACTGCCATGACCTATGTTAAAAATGTATTTACATGCAAAGGGGCAGCTCTCGGATCCCACATATTCTTGTAACGTCCAAGGATTAATCAGTCCTGAAAGACTCAGTGTGAAAGTGCCCCCCGTTTAAACAAACTAGACATCACTATTGTAAAAGTATTCAAATACAAATGTAAGTAGTACAGAGAATGAGTTGGAACTTACAGTCTCCAGATATTTTGCACAAAGCCAGAGTGAAACAGAAACTAAAAAATAAAAATAAAATACAAAATAAAAAAGCGCAGCTTTTGACAGATTCAATAGGCACCTAAATTCCCTACTGCACCAAAACCTTAATATCGACCCAGCTAGGAAACACAGCAGGTATTTCAAGCTGGGCTCTACAAGCGGTGGGGGTCGGAATAAACCCACCCTTTTCCTACAGCAACCCAACTCCTCGTGTGAAAATTCAGCTTTTCAAAAAAGAAAGGAAGGAAGGAAGAACGAGTCCAGGCGATGGGGGGAAAAAAAATCTGCCGCAAAACTTAGTTGAAATTCCAAAATCACAACCTATAGAAAGACACCCCCTTGTCGTGCCCCCCCCATACCTTCTTAAACCCCCTCCCCCCAGCTGAGAGAGTCTAAATCTTTCCGTTTCAGCGTAGGAATCTGCGAATCCAAACCCTTAGTGAGAAAGGATCCATTTTGATACAAATTCTCTTCCCTTCTCTCTCTCTCTCTCTCTCTCCTAAATAATTGTCCCTTAGACTAGTGGGGTTTTTCCCTCTCTCTCTCTCTCTCAAACGTTAAGTCTCTTTGGAACCTGAAGACTAGTGCCAAACGCAGATCTCTAGCGCCCACTATTTCAAAAGCCAGGAATATTATTTCACAAGACTTGGAACGACTCAATAAAAAAAAAAAAAAAGTTGCTATCCCCTTTCGTCAACTTTGCAGCTAACTTTCGCTTCTCTCCCCCCCCTTTATTGGCCATCTCTGCTCTCCTCCAGCTCCTCCGGGGTGAACCCCACCAAAGCGCTTCTGGGGTGCAAGAGAGACCCCCAGCCCGCAGGAAACTGCGAGCCGCCGCTCTGCTGAGCCGCTCACACACAAAAAAGGGGTGGACAGCAGGGCTCTCGCATCTATTTCGCTCCAGGAATGAGAAAGGGCACGAAAAGGGGGCTCCTGCCCCGCAGCAGCACCCACCGCCCAGCCCTCCGGCGGCACAGATCCTGCGGGACCCTGGAGGGGACCCTGGAAGCGGAAGAAGGGAAAGATAGGACCTACTCTTGGGCAGTTTTCTCGCCCTCGCCTTGGATCTCATCTTGTCGGCTTTTGGAATCGTCTCCTCCCACTTGAGGCCAGAGGCAGTTTAACAACCATCTCCATCCCCCAGCCAGGTCG